ATTTCGCAACCTTTTCCTAATCATTCAGCGCAAGTATCTCACACCCGCTACAGGAAAAGACACAAGAAAAGGAAGTATGTGACAATTAACACGCATGCTGATTGGAATTTTATACGATCAGTAAAAATCAATTCGGAATAATCAGAATGCATAATTCCAGGAACGCTCTTATATGATCTTTGTGAAATCGCCGCGTGGGTCTCATAAGATCAGAATTGTTTCAGTCGTCGCAAAGTACAATTTACCCGAAGACATTAGAATTCAAAAAGTTAAGACCTGGGGAATTGAATATGCTAAGAAGAATACTGAACGTACAAGACAGATGGAAAGAATTAATGGTAATTGTAGCAAAGGAGAATTTATTATTATTTATAACATGATAAAGCATACAACAGCACGACAGTAAGGAAATGCAGCGGAGATATTTTTGATTAATTGGAGGACAATAGGGAGAAAGAAGCCAATCTTGGGTTCCTTACTGAGCTTTTGTTAAAAGGCCCTGTTATTGTGAGCCGCATAACTCCTAAATGCACTATATGGTTGCAAAACAATTAAATGAAGGGGCACGGGAAAAGGAGAGAATATCAAGTTCTAATGCTAAGCATTTCTCAGAAAACAAAAATTTATCTTTCAATATATAGTATAACGTCAAAACATCATATTTTCTCATATATCAAAATTATAGGGAGAGCGCTTAATGGTTTCAAAAAAAAAAGAGTCACGTTCATTTGCTTAGCTATTTAATGTGACGAAGACAACCGGAATCCCGGATCTGGACCTTTCGACATTTGCTCGGCGACTGACCGAAACCGATCAGTAACGGTTCGATGATGGAGAGTGATCAGATTATCGGTGTCCAGTCCGTCGCGAACGCCGATGACTGACACGGGTCCTCAAGGGAGGTTTTCACGTTTTATCACCTACATTTCGGCCAGTCCTGATACTCGTGAGGTGTAAGTGTTGTCCGTGGTAATTGTAGCTGCTGGTTGTAGATGTCGCTGCTGGGGTACTGCTGTGTTTCTCCTAATTTAGATGCGTGGAAGAAAAATCGGATTCCAGTCGCCGGAATTTGAACCCGGGTCCCGAACGTTCGTAACTTAAGGCACTAATCACTGCGCTGCCATCGTCCAGTACTAGTAATAACAATAGTCAAGTGATGGTGTATTTGCTTGTCGAGTGCCGCCACACTCGTGACTGACCGCGGGCACGGACAGATGATGACGAAATCTACACAACACTTAAATTTACGCAACTTACTTATTAATGCTTAAATCTAAATGTAACATATACCCTAGTACGTACTATAACGACTCACAAGACAATTCACATAACGTTACTAATTGACACTTAATTCTAAGTACACTAATTTGTTAATAATAGCTTTAGGTTATATCACAAGACCAACGTTTGATTTGGTTCAATATCGTTGACGACATATTGATCATTGTCGAGTACTTTTGTCATGACGTAAAGCGCTTTAAATTTTGGTAATAATTTCTTATTTACCCCGGGTGCAACAATGTGATTTGAAATGACGACGTGATCCCCAACTTGATACTTTAGCGCCGGTTTCCGTTTCTGATCATGCAATTTGTCGTTTCCAGTTTGTTTAAATGACGGAATGTACTCGAAAGTGTTTAGTTTTAAATTAAGGATATTGCTGCAACGGCACAATGCGTCAACGTATGATATTTTCGTTCCGGTCCAACGTTCGATATCGTAATCGCATAAAGATAAATATTACACCTTTTATTAAACCAACTTAAATATTAAACCAACTGTCAAAAAAGATGTTGCACGGCATATCATGAAGAACTAGCGGACGCAGAAGGAACGGTATGACAAGAGTAGGGGAGATGCCCAGACGTGTACCGCAGGAGAACTAATGCTGGTACTGCGGATCAGTGAACTTGTCACGGGCGCAGGCCAAAAGTTACTTCCGAAATTCAAAGGACCGTCCCGGATTCGGACCGTTTTGCCGAATGAACGCTATGACCTAGAGGATATGCGGGAAGGGGTAAGATGATACTGGACAGTTGTCGCTGCTGATCGGATCAAGCCGTGGATCACAATGCAAGGTGACGACCACAACAGCTCGGAGTAATCCTTTCCTCACAGGAATTGATAGCCCAAAAAACTATCAAGGGTACGATCATGGTACATGGTATGAATGTCCTTACATGTATGTCTTTTCTTCTGTGTGCAGAAAAAAGGTTAAAGAGAGCAAGGTGGGATCCAGGATTGGCTAGCCCCTAGCGCCGGCTCAGATCACGGAACCGTCGAGCAGGACGGATGCCGTGTTGCGCCGTAGCATGGTGGTTACGGAAGCGCACATGAGCATGCACGGTGTCGCGTAGAGATTAGTTCATTTCAATTCGTTAGAATTATAGTAACGAACTTTCCTTGTACACGCTGGTGTATCCGTTGCACGTACAGGTGCTTCCCTCGTGGATGTAAACGTTTCCTCCTTTTGCAAAGTCTTCGAAATCCACGGGTTTGTCACCTTCTTGCGGTCTCGATTGTTTCTAGGTGACTCGGCAAACGAAATGTTTCTGTATAAACGATGCGTTCTTGCCTGATCTCTTAACCAGATATCTGGTTGGAATCCATCGATTATAAAAACAACGAGTTCTTCTTGGTGGACGGTGACTTCATTCATCAGCATAACTTTGTCGAAATAATATTCGCAAAAAGACTCGTCTTTCGAATTCTTTGCGTAACGTTGCTTTACTTGGTCGATCATAAAAAACGCGTACAACTTGTCAAGGAGATCCGCAACCATCATTCTCAAATGATCGAATGAAACCATTTTGCCGCTTTTCCACGTAAGCATAAATCCATTAAAATTCTGACACTATTGTCTTCCAGACGGTATCTCGCAGTAATTTCAACTATTACTTCCAATTACGAAAATTATCTTTAGGTCCGCCAGGAAATTCAACCAAAAGATCAGCAATCGTCTTGATTCTGATCGTCGGAAGCATGGAAAGAGTAATAGCACCCTCTGTAGGTTGTGTAAATTGCAACTTTTGCCCATGTTGTGAGTTTCACTCTCGCTTTTTTGCGCATGGAGCCTCTTGCTTGCGTTGCGTGGCTGTCATTTCCGCACGCGTCATTTCCAAAACTTACATATCCAAGTTACTTATAGAACTTTCGGCTGCTGCATCTTTCAAAGGTCTTGCATAAACTTCCTCTGTACCAGCTGGAAGAGATTTTACAATACCTGGATTAGCTTGTAACAAACGCGCAGTCAGTTCAACCTTACTACCAGTCACCACCAAATCAGGTTCACGTAATAGTTCTTCTAATTGGTTAATCCTTAATTCTTGCAATTTTCTCTTCTGTCCACTCGGAATATTGATAAAAAAAAAAGACTTACACTTATGTGTACAAACTAAACATCTAATAAAAGGTTCAATACAAAACTTGCACAATATGCGAACCGCGAGATTAACTGTACAAATCCTTCAGATTGTCATCATTATCATTCAGATTGTTATCATTAGTTACAAACTCTTTTGAAATAGAATCCGCAGATGGCAATCGATGGCAAGTAAAAGGCAGTCGCAGTTAAAACGAAAAATCGCGAATCCAACTAAAATTTTCTACCCACTTTTAAATTTGTAGGGACTATTTAATGTGACGTTTATGGGATTATTATCATACGAGTCAGGCTTTCGAGCAGTGAGAGAAGTCGGCGAGGATATTTTAAACCGTAAAGGAATACGATTGTAATATGTTGGCAAGTATAATGCTTATACATTGGACCAGTTCGAGAAATTCCTGCGATGCGAGATATTGCAAGAGGCCGTAGCGCGGGAGAACACCGGATGTGTCCATCATTGAATTCCCCACAATGGTGTTTTTAATTGATAAGGATAAAAACATAGCGAGCAGGTTCAGGTCACAGTGAATACTACGTCATTGCTAAATATTCAGCTGACTGAGAGAACATATCAAGTAAAACAAATGTAACGTCACACAGAGAGGAGACTCAATTAACTAGTGGCTTTAACTAACCTCAAATAATCTTGTTTCGTCACTTTGGTAATTAGGTGATATGCGTAGTGTTCTACACTGTACGTGGATTAAGGAAACGTAGTTTCATCCTAGTGCAAGAGACAATGAATATCTTTTAACACTTATTTGCCAAACACCATTTATATTTATCTAGACATAGTTAATGTTGCTAGTTAATAAATCAATAGTCTGGCTATTCATTTCCGATGGAATCGATGGGTCAAAAATATAAGTGCGTTGGATCTCTTTTCGCAAGGATGAAATTTGACATACTAATCAATACTATCGCAAAACTCAGAAAGAAGCAGTCTGGCTAATTTCCGATTATGGAACCTGCAGTCCGGCAACATTCCTTAGATGTTCCCGATTTTTTAAAATTCGGGTTGATTCCAAAACGGGCTGCACTTATTTTCGCATTAATGAAAATTTTTGTGCTGATTAATGTTATTATGAAAAAAGTAAAAAAGTTGTCTGGTTGATGTACAATCATATAATTATACATAATGAAATGATAATTTACATTATGAATCAGGAAAAACACAGCTTGGCTTTTGTTAGAAGTCATTAAAGTATTTCCAGACTAACTGAAAGGATGGGCATAGGATTTGATGAAAAGTCGACGCAGTCTACTCTTGTTGAGGAGGCTTCATAAAACGACCGCCATCAGGATCGTAAGGGGATACCGAACAATATCATATACGTCGGCGACTGTCCTGGCTGCGTCTCCTCCGTTCGACCTCCAGGCCCTAGCGCTCCGACCGGTATACCATCAACTGCAGGGCCTGTGCTCGGGCGGGGATACGCCCTCTGCCGGCCAGTCGGTTCGCGACGTCCGGGGGAAGGCAAGGCTCGAAACTTCGGAACGGTGGCGTAGTCAGCTCGACGCCGAGGATACGGTGCGGTCTCATTGGGCCGTTATAGCGGTCCTACCGACCTAGGAGGCCTGGAGAGATCGTGACGGGCTTCCACTGACATACAGGATGACGCAGGTGCTCACCGGGTACGATGCGTTCGAGGAGTTCCTGCTAAGGATTCGGCGGGAGGTAACTAGTACGTGCCACCACTGCGAGAAAGAGGAAGACACGGCACAGCACACGCTAGAGTTCTGCCCGGCGTGGGAGGAACTGCGCCGTGTCCTACGACTCGCAATCGGCGAGAGATTAGCCCTCGAGGCGATCGTAGAAGCCATGCTGAGGGAGCAACAGAAGTACATCGCCGTCCGCTCCTACTGCGAGCAAGTCATGTTCGCGAAGGAGCGCGCTGAGAAAGAAAGGGTAAGAGGACAACACCCATCGAGAGTGCCGTCACACCGAAGAGGGTCTGGTCTCTCCTTCGGACTTGCACGACGGCCTAGGCAGCTTGGCGTCAGGAGGAGTGGTCCCTCCTAATGGCCCAATAAACCAAGGATGACTCCCGATTACACCATCAGGGAGAAGACGAAGGAGTATCCCAGCAGCAATATGAAAAGATGGCCTCAGGGCTCTTCTACCAATCGTCAGGACGATCACCGTGGATGTTTTAGCTGGTACGAATCCGGCACTACCCGGTGCCCTCTCCCTAGAGGGGGCGAGGCGCCTATGAAGGTTTCCTCCACGAAAAAAAAGACTGACTAAAAGGCGCACAACCCGTAAATATCTAAAAATACGAAAAAATATTTTAGATTTTGCATTTTTGAGGCCGTTAGTTTCACAATGTAATTAAATGTATCTGAGTTCATTCTTAAATATTCATAAAACTTTTCAGAACAATTTATTTTCTTATATGTGGTGGCACTCGACGACGGAACTTTCGGACGGCTTCGCGACACAAAGCGTAATATCATCAAAGCGTAAGGCCGATATGCCTGATGTACTATCTATGTCCCTTCGGTTCTTCCGTCGATTATTCGGAAGAATGCGAATGCGATAACGGTCGCGGACGTCTAACGAACGCGTGCGTAGTTGGAATATCGAGGGGCAACAAAAGAAAAGAATCTGTCCAAAGGTTCATTCGTATTTGAACAGCGAAGTGCGAAGTGTTAAGTGTAACAGCGAAGCAAACAGTCGAAAAGCGAGGATTGTTGATTGTTGGTTGTTGACTGTTGATTGTTAAATAAATTATATTGTTGAATATCGAGAGTATTTCTTGGGCACTTACATCTAACACCACCTCATGTATAAGTAATAAAACTCGCTAAAATCCAACCTTTCCGTGTTAATTGAATGAGCTCTATATTGATTCTTTCAAACAGTATTTGTTAAAAACCATGATTTAACTCCTGAACTATTATTCTCACTGTCTTTACTACCTCCTAACACGTCAATTAAAAAATTGATTTATTCTTAACTGAAAAGTAAAAAGTGTATTCTAGCCCGTCGTTCGAATCGAAGTAAATTCTAGTCGACGAAACTGAGGTGGTATAATGTTGTCCGTGATACTTGTAGGCTGCTGGCCGTAGATGTCGCTGCTGGGATACTGCTATTTTTCTTCTAATTTAGATGCGCGGAAGAAAAATCGGACTATGAGCGCCGGGATTTTCGTAACCTAAGGTGTTAACCACTGCGCTACCGTTGTCCGGTGGAAGTTAGTGTCGAGTGGTGGTATTTGCTGTTGAGTGCCGCCACAGAACAATCGCGCTATGTAAATTTTACGCAGACTTAACTTGACAGTCAGCTGAATAATCAGATACACCGCGACCTAAACCGACTCGCTATGTTTTTAGCCTAAGCAATGAAGCAGGAAAAGAGATAAAGTAAAATAGTAGTGCCGCGAGTTGATTAGTCACCTGTCTCTCTGTGTGATGTCACATTTGTTTTACTTGCTTTGTTCTCTCAGCTAGTCGGAATAACCAGTTCTCTCTGAATAATCAACTATAACATAACCTATGCCTCCCTCACTATGTCTAAGAGCTTCACACTACGCTCCCATGGACTCCAGAGTCATTTTAAGATTCACACCACGTTAAAAAAAAGCTTATTGTGAAATTAAAGGTCACTTATGATATTAATATACATGGAAAATTTTTAAATATATTACTAAATAAAATGTGAATAGTTCCCTGTAATATAACTGATGACTTGTGTTTCAGACACTGTTTAATATGGAACAGAGGAAATGTTTAAAAAATCCACCCAAAGAACATCAAATGGAAAACACTATCGTGAAACAAGAGTCTTCTCGAAGGCGTCACGGCGCCCGTCCTAGTTATCATTTATTTTCCATTTAGCCACCCTTGACAGCCGCGGAATGAAGAGCAGCTCATTAGGATTCTTGCAGCGTTCAGGTATTTCTCACTCGCCAAGGGATTACATAGGGTAGCATGGACGCCGTCTCTTCCGGTTTTCTTCGCCTTTTTCGTTCATTCTTGTTGCGTGCGGGCATGACGCATCGAATTTACGTGAGCTGACAGAACACGGCATGCGAGAAGAAAAGAAAATATGTAAATGGAGTTTGTTTATGCAGCTGGAAAGCTGGCGCGGTAATCGAATTTTCACGGACCATCTCATACCATATTTGCAAGTACAGGCTAGCCAATGTAACAGCCGCGAATGAAGCGACGTGATCGCGTGAAGAAATCTGATTTTCGAACGGCGACAACGACAACGACAACGAAGACGAAGACGACGGCGACGATTGCTACGATGCTACGATGTGGCAGAGGAAAGAAGGATGAATATGTAATCAACAATGAATAGAGTGGCATGATTGTGAGCTAACGGAATGGTAGAAAAATGACGCGGCAAGTAGGGGGAAAATGTTGGAACTGATTGCCTGTTGACTGACTGACTGTTGTTATTGATTTGAATGAACTTTCTATAAGGATATATTTATTTTTGCAGAGGATAGGATAGTTACAAGGTTCGATATGTGCTTATAAATCCGAATCAAGCACGATATCCAAGGTTCACTTTGTAAGATTTGAATCATTGTATTTACGAAATATTCGATCTTCAGAAACCCTTTTCAAATCTCCGAATGAATACTAACGTTTCGAAAATCTCTTTACAAATACTTCGATATTAAAATGAATCGATACCCTTACAAATACTAGTCGAGTCATGAAAGTCAGAAAGCACTATGCAGGATGGTTGGTAACTGGTGGTACAAGCGGAAAGGGGGTGATTCTACTCGAAAAAAGAAGTCGAAAGTATAGAATAAAAATTTTTCGTTTGAGGCTTTGTTTTCGAGAAAATCGACTTTGAATTTTCGCTCGGTACGCGTGCGGTACGTTATAACGGATCTCACTGTAGATCGTTGTCTCTATTGAAAAATTTAAAAAGGAAAAAAAATTAAAAGAAAAAATTTTTACTCTATATTTTCGACTTCTTTTTTCGCATAGAATCACCCCCTTTCCGCTTGTACCACCAGTTACCAACCAACCTGTATATCTTATAAATTTGATTTGTGTCGGTTGGTTTTACGACTGTTTATTGCAATAGTGACCGTGTCTAGTGTTCTTTACTGTAAATGCCTTATAATAGATAAGTGTTTAGTGCAGAAAAAAATGTCTAACGCAAATTTTAGTCATATTCTCGTTACTCTCTCTCTCTCTCTCTCTCTCTCTCTCTCTCTCTCTCTCTCTCCCTCTCCCTCTTTCGCCACTCGGTCCTATTGATCACTCGTCTTCCTCCTATTATTCACTCAACATTCAAACAATCACCTCATTGTTACCTAAAAGACATTTCTGATTCCGCATTCGTGATCTCATCCTAGTTGATGAAACAACAGTTGTGTTGTATATAATGCAAAGTTGTATTATCTATAATGCTTCTAATATTTAGAGATTTATTAAAAATAAGATACTGTTCTAACAGTTTTTTCACGTGTCATTTTCCAACTCTTATAATCCTAAAGTTTCTATACGTTGTACCAATATCGTAGAGATATTTATTTCACTGAATTTCGATTGCGTTTTTTTCTATTTATACGAATACATGGACATATGTAAAGTACTTGTACATTTTATCAAATGAAAATTTATCATACATACATAGATTATTTACTAGATAGAAGCTTCACAAAGTTCCATCAAATCTCTTCGTTTCTTCGTCATCAGATCGCTATCCCATCTTTCCACGCGTAAACAAACTTCTTCGATTTTTTGTTAGTTCCAGAGTGGTTGGTATCTCGAGGAGAAATTGAAGCCGAGGCATTCGCGAGTAATTGCTGCATCGAATTCCTACAAGAACAGACCTTCCTTGAAATTTTCTCTCTCTCTCTCTCTCTCTCTCTCTCTCTCTCTCTTTATCTCTCTGTGAATCATTTTCGTGTCTCAGATCTTAGGTTTCAAACGTACCTCGTAATCTTCGTACATTATATTCGACGAAATGTACCAAGAAACAATTTTAGCAATTCATATCAGAGAACTGGGAATACGGGTTTCAAGTAAGACTATTGTTACTTATATCAATATCCTGGCGTAGCACTATGTCTGTATTTGTTACTTTGTGTAAGAGGGAATGATTTAAATATCGTGTTGCTTATTCTTCGAAAATACATATGAACCATTTAGTGCAGCTTGAAAATATGTCAATAGTTTCTTTGTAACAATATCGTATAATTGTACAAGATGGAAAGAAATGTTTTATCTTCGCCAGTACAAACGAATTTTACACCTCCGGTTCAGTGGAGATCTGTCGAAAAAAGGTAGAGAGTAAATAACACAATATTAATAAGGAAACAGCAAATTACTTCTTAGACCATGAAATAGCCAATCATAATCAAAATGAAACAATTAATCCCGCGATTTTACATTATTATAAAATTACATAGGGCACATGAAGACATGTGACGGTTAACTGCGTTTTTTTAAATAGTATCACATTTTTTATGCGTTGATCCACGACTTTCATTATTTCATGTAAGAAACTACGTACTTATTTGTTCATGCCAAAAAATTATCTCAGATGTTCATTAGTTTTGTTATTTTTCTTCAAAAGTATAATTTATTAAAATATCCTTTAAACTAAATTGCTTTTTGGCATGAGCAAGAATTCATAGAATTCAATTATTTAAATTATCCCTCCTTATACAATGTAATAAACAACATTAATAATCAGCAGAAATTGCGCTGAATCCGAATATTATTAAAATAGTTATTAAAAAACGCAATAGGCCGACTTCGTGATAGTGTCAAATATAATGGATTTTTACATCGTCATTTACCAATAGCTTTAGAAGGTCGACCTGCAGCCAATATATAGCATCTAGAGAAATTCCATTTATTTGAGGTTACACTTCGTTCGGTTTAAGCGTTTGTGTTTAACAAGTATCGTAATATCGTTTCCCAAATATGGATCTTTTGGAAACCAAATACTCGGTACCTAACCTAATGGCACTTGGGTACTCAACTTCGGTAGTTCGATGCTTAAGTACCAGTTCTCGGTACTTCGAAGTATCGATTGTTTAACTTAACGAGATTTTCTACCCCATTATCGAGTCTTCGTCCAGTAGCTACCAGCTTCTTTACTTCTATTGTAAAGACATCGCGTTACGGATATACTGGAAGGTGGTAACCGAAAGTTGCCCGTTTTTAAGAATAAGTTTAGTTAATCATAGACTGTAGTTTAGCATAGTTTTAGCTTTAGTTATAGTCTCCAGTACGAAATGGCTCTTCGTGTAGTTTTTATTAGTTGACACCACATGCAAACAACGACAAATTCCCACGGATCAATCACGGGAATATTAGGCATTATCTCACGTTATTCTTTGTCTTCTGCTCTCTCGTTTGTGTGAAAAACGAGAAGGATTAGATTCTTGCTCCGTCGTAATCGAAACTTAACTTTATTAAAGTTGCAATATTCTTTTTGAAATTTCTTATTTTGTGATTTAGAGTCTAACATAAATATCGCGACTATTACACTCAGCAGTTTTATTTCCCGACTCATAGAATATATATATATATATATATTGTTCTTTACTATATAACGTTTTGTTCAATCGTAATATCCAATCCATGAAACCCACAACGGTAGTAAGGTGGTCGTTGGTGAAGGTGCCCACAAGAAATACTCTTGATGTTCAACAATGAAGTTTATTAAACTATTAACAATTAACTATCAAGAGTCAATAATCCGTTTCTCTAATTGTGTTTGCTTCGCTATGACGCTTAACCTTTGGCGCTTTGCAGCTCGGGGCAGAATGAATCTTTGGTTTGAAACCAAACGGATCCTTTCCTTTGTTGCACTTCGATATCCCCACTACGCACGCGTTTATTAGATGTCCGCGACGGTTGCCACGTATGCAATCTTCCGACTATTCGGCGAAAGAACCGTAGGGATATCGATGGTACATTAGGCATGTCGGTCTTATGTTTTAAAGGTATAGCGCTTTGTGTTACGAAGGTGTTGGAAAGTTCCGTGATCGAGTGCTACCACAGTATACTTTTGTCGCTCTAGGTGTTTGTTTCATTAAACAATGTTACGAAGCCTACTACTAAACGTTTCTAGCGGCTCCCTTCTTTAGCCATACGTTGGTTCATCCGCATATCATATTCCTGTAGCTCGCAGCGTTAGCTATACATTGATTTCGTCCCCAAAAACCCAAGTCCTGGGATTCCCTTCGTTACCCATACGTTGGTTTGTCCTCGCGCTTATTTCATTCGGCAACCAATGCAATTAACAATAGTGGATTCGCTTGATTAACAACTCCGTAACCTAAACAACACCCTGGCTATTTCAACGAATTATCTATTCAGACTATAACGAAAAGTTGTTTCTGTAGCGATCTAATTACACTTAGGGAGTCAATGACGATAAGAAAATTCATAATAGAAGTGTTCAGGTAATTAAGCTGGCTGAAGAGTGGTATCCTGGTCAGTGTACGATTTTCCCATTTTTTGATAATTCTAGTTACTCTGTTCTATCATGTATTATGATGTGTTAGGCTTGGGATACGGATAGACGACCCGCAACATGTTGCTCAGTACTTTAATGTCGTCGATAAGCTTCCTAGCTACGTCAAGATGGTTAAGATTGCTGAGAAGAAAATTGCTTTGGTTGGTGTAATTCAAAACAATAGTATTTTCGTGTTGAGTCAGAATGTCTTTAACTGAAACAAGGCCTCAGAAACTCAATATCTAGTTCCTGATCGCTACTAATTGCATTTGTTCGTGATTTTTATCGTCTTTTTTCTATTTATAAGTTTGCTTGTAGTAATCTATTCGTGATTAACCTTGGTATCGGAATCGTCTGATGAGAGATATAAATTGCTCGAAGTTTTCATGTT